TCGGCCTCATTTCCCCCTCCCCCCCCAGCCTCTGACCAACCTCTTTCCTCCTGCTACCTCTGACCAGCCTCATCCCTGTCAGCCCTGACCGGCCTCATTCCGGCACCCTCCCTGAGCATCTGCTGGCATTCCGCTCTCCTATCTGCCCTTTCCGAACTCTTATCCCGAGTCCACATTTGCCCCTAGATGGAGAACCTTCTGCCAACAGCCTGACAGAGAGCTCTCATATCACCTCACTCCAGCTCAAAGCTGCTCCGCAGTTTCCAAAGCACTCTAATAAACGCGCCCACACTCTGGTAAACACTTCATACTACAGACTTTGAAATGTCTCAATCTACAGACATATATGCTTTTTCCAGTATTTTCAATAGTACTATACATTTTTCCAAGAATCATGCCCCAGTTTCAGCATATATAAAGCTGAAAAACAGCAATACTCCCAGCGGCGTGTGCTGGCCATGCTCAGCCTGGTGCTGCCCATTCTTAGTTAGCCCACTTCATTTTAAAATAGCCATCATCCTCAAGAGCACCTATTCTGTGGCCATTTATAGTTTGAACCTAATAACTAGCCCCCCTCACTGCAAGGTCACAGAGGGAAGGACACATCTCTATAAACATACTCTGCATGCATATTAATGCCCAGTTTATCTGGTTACCTGCAATAGTCACAGGGGGTCAATTATAAATGTAAATGTTTATAAAACAATGTTTCACACATTATTCTGGCTGGGGCCCTGACTTTGCCCTCCACATCTGGGGGGGGGCATGTCGTGTGGACTGCGGCTGGGCTGCAGATGGAGAAGAGCGGCGCTGGGGAAGGGGGGGGGGCATGCTGCAGTAGACCTGGGATGCCGAGGTAGCTCGAACGCTGCTGTTCATTGCCATTCGCCTCACAGCATTAATGGGGGGGGGGGGGCCAGAGACGGAGGGAAGGAGGGGGAGAGTGGCTGCCTTTCATTATAATTCCTCTCACACCATTAACAGAGGGAGAGAGCGAGAGACACAAAAAGAGATGGCGGATGGGTGGGGGGTGATGCGTGGGGGGGGGTTAATAGCGGGCAAACACAGCAAAGGATGGAGGGAGAAAAGAGAGAAAAGAGAAGCATAAGGGAGCGTAGAGAGCAAACACCCCCCCCCAGCAGAGTGTAGCTGAGCAGGTGAGAGCAACGCCCCACATCCATGCTGAAGGTGAAGCGTGTGTTTTGGAGAAGGCTGCCTCAGTTTCATCACCACGGTAACCACGGCAACGCCACGGCAATCAAGCCCTTGCCCTGACTCGCCCGTGGACCAACTGGAGATTGTTCCCCTAAAGTGGGCCAGGTCCATTTCATGCCAGCGCCGAAAGATACGGGAAGGACTGTGAGAGAAGCGTGTCGGCGGCAGGGGGGGGAGCCGGGAGCCTTGGCAGGCTGGGCACAGGCCCTGCAGCGGGGTGGGCGGGACAAGCTCACCAGCCAGTGGTGTGAGTCAGCAGCTGCACTGGATGACGCTCCTGCGAAGCGAGGTGGGCCCCCCACCCAAGAAGGTGCCTGCCCCAGAGCTGCTCCTGGATTGGGAAACCTGCCCGGAAAGCCTGCGAGACTCCTGCTCCGATCTGCATCGCTCAAAGTGTTTCTGTCTCTCTCCCTAATTCAGCGTTAATGTCTCGCAGGTGGAGACACATCCAGACAGCAGAACTGCCTGGAAAAGGCAGCAGCACTGAAGAGGAGGCAGCAGGACTGGGGCCAGAGTTCGAAGTCCACGCCTTAATCTGTGGGCGGAGTTTGCATGTTAACTCCTGCAATCGAACAACGTGCCACCATGGGGAGCGGTGCAAGAACTGGTAACAGTTCATGACTGTCTGTGTCCTAGGCTGGGATGGACCTGTCTAGTGCCCTAAGCTGCCTGAGACAGAGGTTGGAAGATGGATAGTTTAACATGAAATGTCAATCCCTCTCCAATTCTCTGTGTGAGCTGCATCCATTCAGCATCAAAAAAGACACATCTTCTGCCTCAATGGAGCCCAATGTCTGAATATTACAGTGAAGTAGAGGATGAGCAGTGCCAATTCCGGCCACATTACCCCCTTGAGTGTGTGTGTGTGTGTGTGTGGGGGGGGGGGGTCCCATGCCTCTGTACTCTCTATGGCCCTTTGCTTCCCATGGCTGCACAATGTCTGAGCCCTAAGGTACATCTGGCCAGGTGCGGGGGCTGGTTCCCTAGTGGTTCACTGTGCTTACTGCGCCACCACCAGGGAAATCCCGGTCCCCTCCCTAGTGATGCTCTGCTGGCCACCACATAAAGCTCGGCCACTGCAGGCCATTTATTTATACTAACATGCAGGAAAAGATCGCATAACACAGCTAAAGATGGCCACCCCCAATTCAGAGCACAGCTGCTCGCATAACCAGCCAGTGGCTGGTCTCTGGTCTCTTGTGCCTCATCGCAGAGACACAAACCCGAGCGCCTGCTCTGTGAAAGCCCATGGCGGAGCCTCAAATACGAGTCCCTTATGCAAAGCCATTGATCACTCTGAAAAACGAGCTGGGAAAAACATCGCGTCTCTCGCCCAAAGCCACGGCATCTGTCGCTCTGACAAGACGAATCGGCCGGAGACATCTCCGCTCCGCGTGGCCACTGCAGTGCCGAGCAGACGGTGTCGTTCCTGCGGTTGCCTGGCAACCAGACGTGCCTGACTCACAATGAGACTGAGGGCTCCTCAGCGGTCTCGCTGCACACGTGTCTGCACATGGTCGAGACACACATATGCATGCATGCACGCACACACACACACACGCACACACACAAACACACGTGCACACATACACAGAGTTAATATTCGTATCACTTTGGGGAGGTCCTTATCACTGTGTGGACGTCTCCATTCATCTCCAAACAAAACACATTTGGTTATTTTTGTATTTTGTAAATACTAACCTGCACATACACGTGCAAATGAACCCCTCACAGCATCATCCTCACAATACATATTTTTCAAAATATCAAGCTCAGCCAGACATGCGCTGCACTTTCAGATCTTGTAATAAATGCACCATTCATTTCTGGTTCACTTCTGTGACTTGCATAACTCAGACAACCGCTGGCCACCATAATAGAAAACAAAATCTAGCACAGCCACACAGACATCTAACACAGGGTACAATACATTGTGTCTCTGTCACTAGGTGCTCCAAGGTCTGAACATCGCACACAGCTGCTCAGAGGAATGGACATTGCGTGCTTCACAGGCACGGACATCGCGTCTCTCACAGGCCCGGACATCGAATTTCCCACAGGCCCACACATCATGTCTCTCACAAGTTTGGACGTAGTTGCCCACAGGCCCAAACTTTGCATTTCTCATGCATGACATCGCGTCATTCACAGGCACGGACATCACATCTCTCACAGGCACGGTCATCGCGTCTCTCACAGGCACGGTCATCGCGTCTCTCACAGGCACGGACATCGCATTTCTCACAGGCACGGACATCGCGTCATTCACAGGCACGGACATCGCATCTCTCACAGGCACGGACATCGCGTCATTCACAGGCACGGACATCGCATCTCTCACAGGCACGGTCATCGCGTCTCTCACAGGCACGGACATCGCGTCTCTCACAGGCACGGACATCGCGTCTCTCACAGGCACGGACATCGCGTCTCTCACAGGCACGGACATCGCGTCATTCACAGGCACGGACATCGCGTCTCTCACAGGCACGGACATCGCGTCATTCACAGGCACGGTCATCGCATCTCTCACAGGCACGGACATCGCGTCATTCACAGGCACGGTCATCGCATCTCTCACAGGCACGGACATCGCATCTCTCACAGGCACGGACATCGCATCATTCACAGGCACGGACATCGCATCATTCACAGGCACGGACATCGCATCTCTCACAGGCACGGTCATCGCGTCATTCACAGGCACGGACATCGCATCTCTCACAGGCACGGACATCGCATCATTCACAGGCACGGACATCGCATCTCTCACAGGCACGGACATCGCGTCATTCACAGGCACGGACATCACGTCTCTAACAGGCACGGACATCGCGTCTCTAACAGGCACAGACATCGCGTCTCTCACAGGCACGGACATCGCGTCTCTCACAGGCACGGACATCGCGTCTCTCACAGGCACGGACATTATCTTTCACCGGGATGGACATCAAGCTTCTCACCAGATAGGACACATTGCGTGTGCGTTTCTGGTTCTCCCTACACGGATTGAGTTACGCTGCATGCTCAATGCCCTGCTTTGTCCCACTAGCAAGAAACCCAGTGAGAGGAAGCCCACTGTCTCAGGCATGGGGGGCTGCAGGCTGAACCCTTGGTGGGGGGGGTGGACTGGGGGGACTTACACCTCACTGCTGACATTCGGCCACTCTGGGGTCCAGCACTTACCAAAACTTAATCTGAACGTCCTACAGGCCACTTCCACCACCCGACAGGGCTTATTTTGAATTGTTTGAAGAGGTGCGTAAAGGCGGTAAGCAGAGTCTTTATACCAACTACCAATAAATGTGAAAATACTGAATGAATTCACCCAGCAAGAATGTCAAAGAGGCCGCTGTCATACTGTTATGAAAGAGAAAAACGAAGCATAACCACAACACCCGATTCAACTAAATCGGCAAAGAAAATAACAATAAATGAAAGGATGTGCACATCCTAACAGCTCTGGGTGTTTTTAGTCTCACCTGGATGCTTGCTGGAGGTTCAGGAGGAGCCTCCGGGGGCGAACTTGAGATGCTGTCTATATCTACACCCTGCAGGACCTGCAACCAGTCAGAACAAAGCACCTCAGTGACAGAGAAAACAGCATGAGGCGCTGGATGGGTTAAACAGCGGGCTGGAGGAGGGGAGCGGCCACTCCAAGGCCATAATGCTTCCCATCCACATGAGCTTCAATCCGCCCAACATCAGCTTAGTGCTGTTCAGTATGTTAAACACGTGTGTTCCACATAAAATGCTCAACTAACAGGGTGGCAAATGCAAATACATACTATATCTGTATAGAGTCTGTATTTTCTGCAGATATTTTTATGTTTCTAGAAATTATAGACAGCCAAAAAACGGCCAGTAATGAATATTATTTGAAGAAAATAAATTTTATTCCAAATTTTAAATTAACTGAGGGTAAATGAGTTGGTGCTCCACCTGGGGTCCCTTGCCTTGTGCCCAGTGCCTTCTGGGATAGATTTCAGACTCACCGAGACCCTCCACTGGATCAGTGACTATGGAAGACGGCTGGATGTACAAGTGCCACAGGACATAAGTATGTGCAAATGAATTTCACCAATAGCAGTGAACACCAAGGTGAGGAGCCATATTCTGCAGAAGCATTTCATGGCACTAATCTGTGCGTTCCCAACTGTGGTCTGGGGTGACCCCACCTGAACTTGGAGCTGGGGGGGAGCTTTCCTCTTAGACGTCATCTCCAGCACCGCCACATTGGGCCGGCGGGTGGTGCTGGTCGGAGGGATAGCAGCAGTCACGGTTATGGGCCGGCTCCCGATGATGACGCTAGATGGCTGGGGTGGCTCACCGTCTATCCGGGGCTGGCCTGCAGGATAGAGGAAGGACGTCGCTGGTTAAAGTGAAAGGGTCAAAGGTCAAAGGGCAGAGACTTCTTATTTATTCCTACCATTACTGTTACCTTCAGTATTCACACCAGATAGAAGATAAATCTGCAATATTTCATATCAGGAAAAAAATAACCCAGGTATTAGGAAAGACAATGTATCAAGCCAACTTTTACGTGATTTTTTTTTTTGGCAGCTGAATATTCCACAGCATTACAGCGTGTGGGCAAAGTGCCCAAGGACCTGGAAAAAGAGCCGTGACATGGTCTGGTCACCAGCCAGTCTGTCTGACTCTGGTCCGGCAGGGCGTTCAGTCTACAAGAAACAGGGAGTAATCCATGTAGGGGCGCGCCAAGGTGCACATGATGAAGATCATTTCTAGTGGGGGGTGGGGAGGGGTTCAGGGACACACAGCTGCTGACAGCTGGGAAGCTAATGAGATGTGTGTGTTAACAAGGGAGCTGCTTCCCACACTGTAAACACCCCTTGATGGGGCCCTACAGTCGGGGACACTGTGTGCCTCTGCTGCTCATCCTTTTCAGTGTGAGGCACCTCCCTCCAGATCTGCCACAATACTTTACTGCACCTGTGTCAGGTGCTTGAATTCCAGATTTCCCGGCACAGGATTCCTAATGGGAAAACCGAGGCACAGGTGCAAATTACTCTGGAAGCAAATTGACCAGAGAGCTAATCCTGAAGGACCCCAGTCCCCAGACCAGCAGTCCAGCTCCATGCAGATGGTAGGAACCAATCAAATCCCAGAACCAGAGGGTCGCTGGTTCAAGACCCAGACGGAGGGCTCTTGACGTACCTTTGAGCAAGAAGCTTAACCTAAATACCTTTGGTAAAACAGCCCGGTGTAATATTTCTGTAAAAAGTGCTGGGAGAACTGTGATCTAAGGAGAGGTATGTATACTCCGGTGGCTGTAATCTAGTGGTTAGTTACACAGCTAACAAAGGAAGGCACCCAGCTAGCTGAGAATCTGGCATATCAGTCTGGCTTTAAACGGTTAACATGATTTCGGTGTGGAAGCTGGCGATCCTGCCCTGAAGTTTGCGAAGGAGTGTATTGTCATTAGCCCTGAAGTCTCCGCTAACAAAAGCTGGCGAGAAACAGCGGCACAGCCAGGAGACCCATACCTGCTCCTTCAGTCCCCTAGCAAGGACGGGGTTGGACGGGGTCACGCTAGGCCATGCAGGGTCACGCTAGGCCATGCGGGGTCACGCTAGATCATGCGGGGTCACGCTGTACTCTGCCCAGCAAGGGGACTTTGCACCAACCATATTTGGACTAAGACAAAAAAAAAAAGCCATAAAGCTGACGGAGCTGCCATGACTCGCGTGACACATGTGAGCACAATTAGCTTCAGATTTTTTATGTAGTACAGAGACTACTTATATTCAAGGGAGACATGGCTAAGAAAGAAAACAGCAGTTAATTCATCAGAATGAATGTGTTTCTGACATTTTCTTGTTGTAAGTGCAAGAAAAATGTAAATGCACGGTGTGTTATTGTACTTATTAGTGGTGTGTGATTAGCAGCATCTCACGGTTAATGTTTACAGTGTGCACAGCGACTGAGGGCTGCGTGTGAGACTCCGGTTACGGGGTCAGGCCGCGCTGCGTCATTACGCTGGGATCGGCCAGGAGCCCGGCGCCGGCCTACAGCATAAACTCACTACGAAAAAATATCCCAAAAACAATAGCGAGCGGTTTTGGAAAGGGTGCTTGAAGACTGGAATATTCCGCTCAGAATTTTGGCTGTGCTCCTATAAGAATAAAATTAAATCAAGTTTAACAGCGTTATGAAGGACAGGAAGGTTCAGCCAGAAGCGGACTCCGCCGGGGAGCCAGACTCCGCCGGCGAGCCGCCACGCTGAGGAGGCCAACCGCCAGCCGTTATCTCCGGGACGGCATTCCCGCCTTCGGAATTTCACACACAAAAGGATGATTCCCGGAGCAGCCGTACCGGGAACGCCAGCTGCACATGTTAGAGATGCAGCGCATGCTGATGTCTCTATAGGCTGGTGAGGGAAGCTCCAGATAAAAGAGGAGGGAAGAAACCACAGTAAGGCAGCCGCTCGCCGGCACCCCCCACTGGAGAAGCCGATCCGGTGCCTGAACATGGAGCTACGTTCAAAGCGGCTGACTGCAGCCTCTCGGGATTAAAGTAAATCAGCTCGGGGAATCTCCGGCAGCTCAAAGCGGCCAGCGGCATGCTGGCGAGCGCATTGCTAAGCGTCGTTGGGTGATTCCGTTATCGCAGAGATGTAGGCGGGAGCCCGGCGGCGGGAGGCTGCATTATTACGAGACGCTCTGATGAAAAGCTTTTTCTTGCCATTATTTAGACTTATTCAGTACTTCAAAAGTTCCCATAGTTCAACACTCTGCGATGCTGCTGGAATATGCTGCCTCCCAACAGATATTAAGGCTCAAATGAAGGCCTCTGTTCTGCTGGGTACGTCCGGACTGGCCAGAGGTTACGCTCCCTGCGAGGGCCAGCAAACTCCACACACAGAGTGGGGGCCCTTTTGGACAACACATCACCGACAAACAGCTTGGGGGTCTTATTACTGCCAAAATACCCAGAACCCCTGGCTCACATTGACCAACGCTGCCCCACATGGAAAGAAAGAAAAAAAAAAGGGTCACAACACAAAACACCTTATTTCCACCAGCTCCTGGCTAATTTCTACTCTGATCCGGTTGATCAGGCAGCGTGAGATTCCTCCCTGCCACTTGGCCGGTGTGCCTGCCTGCGGATGCATAGGAGATTTACAGGTCGCCCTGTACTGGGGGGCTTTCACCATCTGCAATCTATACTCAGAGGAGGGGGGCTCTGATACGGATAATCTAAATTATGACTTTGCTATGCTTTGACACCACACACGTCGCGTCTGACTGCCGTTTCTGAGGTTAGTCAGGGTCTGACTCTTCCCAGAGTACCAGTGGTTGCTACTAATATGGAGCCCAGAAGCCTGCTTTGGTACGCAGCTGCTCACATCAGTCTGATTCAGAACACACTTACCTACACATTTCCTTTCTAATCACCTTCATCCAGCGCCTCTGAAAACGGCCAAGGTCAACAGAGGAAATGACATCACAGGGAAAGCGGTGCGCCTCACACGCCACCGTGCAGACGTGCCGGCCTGGATTCGTGCTCAGAGGGACATCTTCCCTGTCACTGAAACTGCATTTACAAACGACTGACGGCTGGATTTAATTCGGCTTCACAGAAGATGATCTGCGTTGCGACCTGTGCCGTGCATCGCATAAAATGCATCAAATATTACGGAACATATTCCACGGGCCGACGATCGCCGCCAGTCGCAGCATGCGGCCAATTCGTCGATAAAACCCATGTGCGGGAAAAGCGTTTAAATAGAACCTGAAAATCAGACAATATGGAAAAGGTTTATTTGTAATTTAATCTGTTTTTTAAAAACTAAATTTGTTATGTATTTTTTTTTGTTTTTCACTGACAACAAAAGGTCCATCAAAGGAGACTCTGCACTGGGCAGAGCTCTGATGAAGGAGCGAGAAACATGGACTGATGTGTCTGTTAAAGGGAGGAACAGAGCTGGTCAGAATGAGGAGTTTCCCTTTTATGGATGTGAAAGCCAGACAAGAGAGAAGCAGCAGAGTCACATTCTGGTGAAGGATCTGAAGAATACCATGGACTGCAGTGGAATCAAGTGGATTATAGATGAAATCTAGCTTATTTTGGGCATATGGTGTCCAAAGAGACTGGAATAAGGAAAACTTATTGGCAGCAGAGGGAGAGGATGACCCTTAATAAGGTGGACGGACTCATCATCACAGCAATGCACATGGCTTTGGGAAGCCTGCAGAAGCGGACAGAAGAACATTCCGGAAGAGTCAACACCTGATAACTGAATGGGCTGAGGAATCATTAACTGTGATTAATGTCAAAGGGAGATGCTCAAAAAGACAGTAGCATGTCTGTGTGCGTCTGCCTATCTGTCTGTCTGTCTCTCTCTCTGTGTATCTGTCTGTATCTGTGTCTATATGTGAGTGTGTGTGTGTCTAAATATGTATCCGTGTGTGTGTGTGTCTGTCTATCTGTCCATGTGTGTTTGCCCTTGCTGTGACTGACTGTCTGTGTGTATGCGCCCCTGCCATTTGTCTGTCTGTCTATCCATGTGTGCGTGTCTTTGCTTTCTGTCTGTCCCTGTGTGTGTGTGAGCCCCTGCCGTTTGTCTGTCTGTCTGTCCTTGTGTGTGTGTGTGCCCTTGCCGTGTCTGTCTGTGTATCTATGTGCCTGTGTGTGTTAACCTGCACCCTCAGGTCACATGACAGGCAGTGACAGCCCTGAGGCTTGCCGAGTCCTGCCCCGCTTTGGTCACCGCCCCAGCAGCGCGTCCCTCATTCCCCCATGTCAGCAAACGGCAGCAAACATGTTGCACATCCCCCCGAAGGTGCGTGCCGCGCCTTGGCACCACGCTGCCCGTTTTATGCCTGACAGCACCAGGCACATGGAGGCTTCTGAAATCACCGGGCACAGGTGGTCACCCTGACCCGCCCTTCACCTCCATGTCTGTGCCACCATATGGCGCATTCGGCACCAAGCCAGAGCTCCACCCCAGACGGCTGCAGTTGCATAATATCCTGCAACCAGCTCTTTCTTGCCAGTCACGCAGCAGATTAAGGGCCAGAAACGGTGCATTCCCATGAAATCCTCACAAAGACAAGGGCCGTTCTTTCTGTTCTTTCTCCTTCTCTGCCATGGTGTGGTTAAAATAAAGGCAGTGAACAGCAGTTTTAAATTAGAAATGGCACTACTATAATTAAGGTTTAAACTCACGGAGCTAAAATATCTGTCTAATTAAGCCCCCCACCCCTACCAACCACTGTGCAGCTCTTTTCCTTTTTCCACTACAGCCGTGAGGGTTTGAGGTGTGGCAGTGGGGGGGGGAGGGCTGGCAGGGTGCTGAGGGTGACCTTCAGTGACACAGCAGCCGCTGACAGCTGCCTCCTCACGAGCTGCTCTTAATGAGGATCGAGGCCCACGAGGGCTGCGATCGCGCCGTGCTGAGCCACGGAAACGGGCCTCTTTAATGACATCACAATTAGTCAGGCACCACGGGCTAATTAACGCTTCAGAAGCCACGGCACAAAGGCTCCCCAAAAAATCTCGCAGATTGGCCTCGTTTAATCTCGCGCCGTCTTGGATTCTTTGTGCGGACATCAATGCTGACGGGGTCCCTCTGCACAAAGGAGCGCAGAGCTTTGTCTGCAGCAAAAATACTGCATGATGTGAAGCCATTTATTCACTGATGTAAATATTAACGATAATGAACTATTATAAACAAATTTTCCTCCTTAAAAATATGGGGAAAAAGCCTTAACCATGAATACAGAAGGAGCTTTGCTCTTTTATGCCTAGGATACTGTCCTCTGATGGTATTTAAGCACAGAGGTTGAGCTCTGTAAGGGTACAGCTGTCACATAGGGAGGTGCTCACCGAGAGGGATCGCCATGGAAATGAGGAAGCAGAATCACCGAGAGGGATCGCCATGGGAATGAGGAAGCAGACTCACCGAGAGGGATCGCCATAGGAATGAGGAAGCCCTCCATGGGGGTGCGGGGGCCTTTGGGGTCATCAGACACCTCTTGCATGGGGCTGAAGATGTACTGAGGCTGTGAGCTGAAGACGCGCTGTCCTGAGCAGGGGCTGGTCTGCGTCTTGGCCGACTTCACCTTGACCCCTGTCGCAGAGGTCACAGCATGATCACCGAAATGCAGCTTTACTAGAGAGTCATCAGATCAAGACTCACAACACACAAGCAACTGGAGACGAACACGCTGCAAAGGGCAACAAAGAAAAATGCGATAACAATCACAAGGAGATAGTGAGGTCTTAAAGTCAGCTGTTTGTGTCTACTGCTTTCTGCAGCCAATTAGTACACATTTACTCTAGGCAAACTCATTTAAGCTTTATGGAACTTTGTGAGGTTGAGAGAGAACAAGACTGGAAAAGCAGATCAGTGAAATAGGATAGACAGCAAACTATCATGACACATACAGAGAAATAACATCATCAGCGTGCTGGTCAATGGCCGCCATACATGTCCCTGAGGAAATGGGCAAGAAAACATGCATGCAAATGATTAGCTACAGCAGCCACAGAGCCACATGGCCCGGCGCCCTACACTCAGAAAAAGGGCTCCCAGAGAGTCCGAAAGCAAGGGCCCATGGTGCAGATACGGCCAGCTGACGGCCTGGCGCCCCGCACTCAGGGAAGGGCTCTCAGAGAGTCCGACAGTGAGGGCCCATGGGACAAATAAGACCAGCTCACGGTCTGGCATTCAACGCCTTCTTCAGGACCGCCACTCGCCATCTGGACATTGCTAATTAGTAAGTGGTTTCTTCGCACCAACTCTAATATGTGAACACCCATGGAGACAGGGGCACATTCATGCTAAAAAGTGGCATTACAGGGGAATGTGTCAGACTCTAAGGGACAGGTGAGCGACACAGTAAGGATGGGCCAGCCAAGCATCAACATGCACTAGCTTTGCTGGTTACCCACCATTCACCCCTTCACTAGCTTTGCTGGTTACCCACCTTTCACCCCTTCACTAGCTTTGCTGGTTACCCACCATTTACCCCTTCACTAGCTTTGCTGGTTACCCACCTTTCACCCCTTCACTAGCTTTGCTGGTTACCCACCATTCACCCCTTCACTAACTTTGCTGGTTACCCACCTTTCACCCTTTCCACGACTCGTGGCCGCAGACCTTTGGACTTCGGAGAAGGAGAGTTGAATCGGAGATAGGGGCTGTTCTTTAGCGTTCTCCGATGGCCTTCATATAGCGCCTTGCCATATATCTTCATCAGATACTCCTCATCTTCACGTTCGGGCTTCGGTGCTGCCTGTGGCTTCTGTGATACAGTTCAAGCAATTAGTGATTGAAATACTTAATTATACACATATACACAAATAAGTACCACACCTGATATACACAACTGACATACAGACACATTTCCATACATTATGATTGAGAGACACCAATCAGTCTAACTGTGTGTCTTTGGACTGTAGAAGGTAAGAAGAGGACCTAAAGGAAACCCACACAACCCAGGGAAAACATGCACACTCCACACAGAACCCTCAACCCTGAAAGGCCTCCCACAAGGCCAATACCACTTTAGCTATGCTAAATAACTACTATATACATTAGATAGATAGATAGATAGATAGATAGATAGATAGACAGATAGACAGATAGATAGATAGATAGGATGAAAGAAAACTTTATTAATCCCTCGGGAAGGTTCAGGTAGCAACATAGCACCATACAAAATACAAACAACATACAGTCACACATAGTCACACATAGTACAATTATGAAATCAAAGATAAAAGTATAGGGAGAAGAAATAAATAGAGGTGGGATGATGGTACTAATAAATAATTATTGCACGGGTTAATTGGTCTATTGTACAGTCAATTAAATGTCCTTCTGTTCCCCCTCCTGCCCCCCAATGAGGAGTTGAACAGTTTGATGGTGTGTGCGACAAAGGAATTACTATTTAATTACCATTTAATAGTTACAAATAGTGCTGGGCGATAAAACTATCCCGATATTTTAAAAAATGAGGACGATCACGATGATACACACAGACTATAAAACTCGATCAACCAAGTTTGCTCCGTTTTAGAGAATGCGCTGAGACAGACAACTCGATGGCCTATCGCGCAGAGGTTTACTGAACGCCAGCACAACAGCCAATCACCGACGACGTTGTAATTTTGCCCATCCTCCCTTAAAGAAGCAATGGGTGCGTTCGACTTGGGCAAGTCTGTCTGCAGCTGACACCACGTGGAACGTGATCTGCCGGCGGCTGCAGGGGTGGAGTATAAACTGACTGCAGCCAAGTCGGACAACTTCTACTCCTCATGGTCTGCGAGACCTGACTGCAATGGCAGCACTGCCAGAAGGGTGTAGATAAATCTATACAAATATCACCTGCATGCACATTACTTCTTTTACAATAACCAACTCCTGATACAAACTGTTAGCAGTGAATAAAACTATTGTGTATAGTGGCTCTATGTAAAAAGATAGCTGCCAGGAAAAATATCAAATACATGTATTTCAAGGATTCAAAGTTATTATTGTCATGTACAGAGTACAATGCAATTCTTACTTGAATGCCTTCTTCGCAGACTGGACGATTAAACAACTAAAGCAGCGCAACATTACAGTAACTAACAATAAATAAACCACTAACTTACGTTTTACTGTTAGAGCATTTGTGTAAATTATTTAAACTTTATTTTACCAGGTAAATGAACTGAAAACCAGTTCTCACTGCTTTACGTGCTTTTCGGGAGAAATAGATAACGCATTGGAACTTCCTGGGATACAAACGTCATGCGTGTGTAAAATCTTCAGCCAATAAGGGCAAAGCTGTGTCGTCACGGAGGCGGTTCCAGTTTGTGCTGCACGGTCTGTCTCAAGTCGTCTTGCTCTTGCGAGGATTTTGTACCATGTGACATGGTGACGCGTGGTGACGTCTTGCAGCGCCGGACAAAAAAGTCTAACCATGATTTGGCACTTGAATAAGTGTTTTTTGTTTGGTTTAGATACTTTTTTACCTCAGAATTTTAAAAAGTTTTTAAGAGACCAAGAATAGAGGAAGATACTTGTTGCAGTCAGTTCTGTCCTGCTTTATTTTATGTTTGCCCTTTAACATATTTGCAATATTATACAGTTTTGCACATTGTTACATTATTATATGGTTTTGTTCATTTGAGCTAAGTTTCTTTGAATACTTGAAAATCAATAACGTTTTATAATTTTAAGGGAATTTTGTAATAAGTATTTGTTTACTAATATTGTTTATTTCAATGTATTCATTCTATTTGTCAGAATAGGGTTATTTTTTATTATTATTTTGATTATTACATTATTACATGGAACAGCATTGTGAAACTATGATATTGATAATTACTGATATCGGAAAAAATATTTCGTGATATTTTTTTTGCCATATCGCTCAGCTCTAGTTACAAATATGTCATTTAAAATATTACAATTGGACAAAAGCAAAGAACAAGACAGCAGGGGCTAGTCAATAGCACAATGACACAGGACAGGTTCATAATGGCCAAGAGGTAAAGCTATCTTACATATTCATGACAACAGTACTTCCCAAAAGAACCTACTCATTTACCACTGATGTCCATAAAATCTGCAACCATTTCTAAAAGTAGCCCTTTAGTCAATTCCAGGTTGTTCTAGCAACTGCATTGGTAAGCAAACAAAATCCTGGTACGACAAAACATTAAAGTGAAAAAAAGCAAGCATGAAAAATCAAAGTGGTGTAAAGGATCTGCCATGATGTCATTTGTTTTTCCTCTGGGTCTAGCTGGCATGAGTTTCAAGAGTCGACTTCTCCATGACTAAATTTATAAAACTCAGATAATTACGGGAGCTGGGAACTTGCCTTCCTCGCTCGTTAAAGATGATTCTCGTTCGAGAAAAGCTGCCTGATGAAGCGACGCTTTGATGAGCAGCTTCCCAAACAACATACGTTTCTTTTTTTTAATCTCTCTATTTCTACATTTAACACCCCAGCAAACAAGACTGGCATCAATTCCTGACAAAACTCAGCAATCAGTCAAATGGAGGAGCATCCTAATCATAGACAATATTTCATATGTTTCTGTCAGATAGCTGAAAGAAGGAGAGAAACACTGACAGTTTCATTCACCACGGGCCTGTCCCTAGAATGAGTGCCTTCGGGTAACACCATAGTTTTTGAGTCAGTTACGACCCCCGAGACACAGCAGGTTTGAATTCCAGGTAAGACCCCTCTGTTGAATTATGGAGCAGGACACTGAACCCATCCACAAGTAAGTATCCAGCTGTATAAACCGGCGAAATGTATTCAGAATCACATGTTCAGATATTTCCTTCTAATCTGCGGCGCTGAGGGATGACCTCAGGATGCTGTTGAGGTGCACTGCTTGGGGTGATGAGCGGTCTGCTTCAGCTTTGCATGTTTTAAAGGGATGGTTCGTGTGATTTAAAAGGATGATTTGCATCCCTCACACATGGGAGAGAGGGCTGGTTGTGGAACGTGTCACAGTAGTAGGAAGGCAACCGCTGTACAGACAGCAGCCCCCACCCCGGTTGCTAAGCTCCGCAACCCTCACTAGCTTCCATGGCGAGTCAGCCAGCAAATAAGGACCCCAGCCACAGATGTCGATAAGCATGGCCACCCCTGGCTCACATTGTTTGCAGTGGATCAACATGCAGGCCAGGCGGCCATTTTGGAGGCCAGGCAGACATTTTACAGGCTGGGGTCCCATTTCGAAAGCTACATTTCTCCAATGGACCCAAAATGACTAACAAACCTGACTGAATGATAGAAGGGTACTTTAAAAAGAAGCAAGAGCTTTACCAAGGAGAGAAGACATTAATGAACATGTGACCTATGTGTTTGACTTGCTTGGAGCATGAAATTTGGAATTCTGATCCTTGAAGACAGAGGCAGAGTCTGCAGAGCTGTTTACACAAAGCAGCCCCAGCAGGTGACAGGACTGGCTGTCAAGGTCGTTTGATGGACGTGGGAATGGAAGCTTTGAGAGACGTACACATTTTGCCATCAGGACATTATAAACACGCTGTCAGCAATAACGTTGGTTAAGAGCGCCGTGCGCGGTCATGTGACTCACCGCTGCCGCCGGCATTAATGGTGCGGCCGTCAGTTAACAGCGCCGTGCGGGGTCAGATGAGTCACCGCTGCTGTCTGCTATAACGGCGCGGCCGTGGGTTAAGTGCGCCGTGCGCGGTCAGTTGACTCACCTCCACTGCCGCCAGCTTCCCCATAGTATGAGGTGCAGACTGTCGATTGCGCATCCCTGCGGAGTCGGCCGGTCCTTGGAGCTTGTTCCTCACGGACGGCTTCCTCGGCGCCCACCTGGGGGCGCTCTGACAGGGGCCGTTAGCTCCCTTGTATTTCGCAGTGATGTCGATGCTGGTGGGATTCTTGCCCCCCCCACCCACTGCGTCTTCCTTTGCCATTTCAGCCTGCAGATAGAAAAGGGGACGAAGAGAAAAAGCCATTGTCCTCAGAAGGGTTTGAGAATGACGCCACCACCCTAAAGACGTCTCACTGACAGCGGGGATGATTGTCCCGGAAGGTCACGCTAGCGACATGAAAGCGAGATTTTAAAAATCCCTTCAAAGGCGGCACACACTAAATCTTTAAGGACACTGTGGGCCGTTATTAAAAAAGAGGAAAGGAGAGAACCAGCTCCAAGCGGGGTGCCGCTACGCCCGTGGCTGCTCCTTAAAACGTGCCCCCCAGCTATCACTCTGATCCCGACTCCGGCTCCGGCACCGACACCAATGGGAACGGTGCGACTCAGACCCCCGGCTTCCAAAACAAGAAAACAAACAAACAAAAACAAAAGTGAATGTCACGTGTGATCGGCACATTCCTGGGCCACGTCTCATTACTCAACCAACATATGACAGCTCTGCACGACTGTCTAGGTTGGTTGGCACTCTGTGCATCTCTGATGCCAGACGCCCTGCACCAGCACTATAAAGTCCCTTCCAGCTCTTTCTGCACTTCGCTTAAAGCTAAATTCCCAACTGCTAGCTAAGGGGTGCTTGATTTTTAACTTGTGCCAAGTATTACTCTTCCAAACAGGCAGAGGGTGCTGCCTTGATCCTTGTTCCTCCACAGAGCACTTCAAAGGTCAGACTTCCAATATGTGAGACCCCTGTATTGTGGTGATGGTTGCCTCAGATCAACTCACCTGGATGTCCCTGCTCAGGGTGCTGATCCAGGCATCCACAGTTTGCTTTATCCTGAGCTCCTCTGTGGCATCACTGTATTCAGACAGACAGACAGTCAGACAGACAGACAGTCAGACAGACAGACAAAGACAGGCAGGCAGAGAGACAGACAGACAGACAGGCAGATAAACAGGGAGAAAGAGTTAGACAGACAGGTAGATAGACAGGCAGATGGACAGGGACAGGCAGGCAGGAAACAGACAGGCAGACAGAAAGAGTCAGACAAACAGGCAGAGAGACAGACAAGCAGTCAGACAGGCAGGCAGGAGACAGACAGGCAGACAGAAAGAGTCAGACAAACAGGCAGATAAAGTCAGACACACAGGCAGAGAGACAGACAAGCAGTCAGACAGGCAGGCAGGAGACAGACAGGCAGACAGAAAGAGTCAGACAGGCAGATAGACAGGCAGATGGACAGAGACAGGCAGGCAGACAGGCTGAGAAGAGCAGGGAATGGGGGTAATGACACTTCAGCTGGGGCAGTAATCACAGCCAAAAAATTCAACTCCACACAACCGCAAGCTCTTGGCAGAGAGCAGCAAAAACCACATTTGTGTTTCTTTTCAGAAATTGTCCTTAAACGACATCCATTTAGACGCAAATGACTTCTTTAATTAGTGCGTCCCATTCATTATGCGTTGTGAGGAATTAAACAACTGGGGGGTTGGGCCACACCAGTGCTAACACCACCCCCCCCCCCCCCCCCCCCCCCCCCCCCCCGCAGGCGGCAGTCCAACAGCACAATAAGGGGGCGAGGGGACAGATAAGCATGGTGTTTGCTGGCTACTTTGGTTACAATTGTTGCCTCGAGCAGCTACTGGGTCCAGCTTGATTTTTTTTATAACTGCAGTGAATAATTCAGCCTAGAGGGGGCGCATAAACCAGGGTGACCTACACCGCCTCCACCCTTAGGCTGCGACTATTAATATGGAGTAAAATCCACCTTCATAAGCTGTCTGGGGAAGGGGCTGCTATTGTTTATATGGGCAAACATTAACTACTGCAAACAGGCTTGCTGCTTAATGGAGAAACACATCTGCGCAGAAACATCCAGCTAAGAGGTCGCCGCATGTCTACGCGGGTCTGTCACTGTCACCACAGAGCATGGCCGGCGGCCTGCGCGGACGTGCCGGAACGCTTCAGAGCCGGCCCGCACCAATTTCACACCAGCTGGCTCACACGGCAGAAACCCACTGGTGAGGCCAGCGACGCGCAGGCCGAAGCAGGCGTCATGCGAACAATGAGCGCCGAGAGGATCAGAGGGAGACGCAATCAGGGGCATGCAAATCGGAAACTGGGACCAGGGGCTTCTTATGCGCCGGATGACTACGAGCGTGACACTCAGAAAGGACCCCCCACTATTCAGACACCTTAAAAGAATGGCATCCACCCCACCCAGGTTAATATGTAGCTGATGCTCATCAAATAAGCCAGGAAGTAATTAAGCGCTGCTGTACGATCCAGAGTGAGACAGAAGCACCCTGCTGAGAATGTGGCTGATTTTGTGATGCGCTGTGACACCCTTCACCTCATCCTCTCTGCATTCGGTTTCGCTTCCGGAAACAACATGGTGGGGCTGCTCTCTCATCCATCAGCGAGTGAGATCTGCTTTACCGTCGGCATGATCATAGGGAGTGGAGTGTGGCCACAGAAACGGGAGCATGGCAGGGGCCGAGCGAGCCGGCCAATGGCAAGGGCTGTCCCGCGGAGGGGGCCTGTTTCCGGGCAGAGAACGGCGCCTCTGTCACGTGCTGGCTGTGCGGGGCGTGGCTGTGCGAGGTGTGGCTACACAGGCAGGTCGCATTCACAGATCAGACGCTCCTTGGACCCGCGGCTCTACTTGGTGCCGTCACACGTGTGATGGGTCCAATCACACCTCGCCATCACGCCACGACATCACGGGTATTTCACACTTACGGGTATATCACACTTACGGGTATATCACACTTACGGGTATATCTCCCTGCTGCACTGTTTCCCCCTATTTAGGCCGCTGTTATTACCATGTTGCCATGACTACAAAATGTAAAACCCAGCGCTGATTACAGAGCCACCAATTACCACGCAGACTAGAACAGCAGCAGCCTGGCTCTTAAATGGGTTATGAAGCAAGGTTTTTGCATAATACCCAGTGCACCTCAGTTTACTATTATGAGTGAGTGGCCAGTCCTACTCAAGGTGACACACATTTCACAAGCGATCCTCTAGCACAGTTACAGTGTGATTTAGGTCAGCTACGTTGCTGAAGGCTAAACAGCAGAAAGACATCTGGACGAGAGGGACTCTACCCTCAGCCGAGGGTCTGGAGCAGCCCTCTCCATTTGTGGGGTGGGGTCACTCACCCGTATCAATCTGACCAGTGCACAGCATTCTCAGGCTCCTCACACAAATATACTACATGAACAAGAACGGCTGCACATTCAGGGAATAAACACCATGGTTACTGGCCAACAACCTATATAAGTTCCTAGTGATCATGTAATTGTGAAGAGGTAATAATAGCTGGCTGGATGAAAGGGACAGAGGCCAGGAGGGGGGAGGAGGCAGTTAGAGGAAAATCCAAAACATACAGACACGAGTTTGGCGCTCTGGAGGCGCACTGGGGAGGTAATTACAAACAGAACAGCTCATTCCTCCCTCTGACTCCGAGCCCCAGGGTCAGCAGCACAAAGCAGAGAGAGTCACTGCTGCAGTGAGCAAAGCGTGTTTTGACAGGATCTCTGCAGGTCACACCGCAGCCACACCCACGGCTGCTATCCCCTGCTGTCCCCCCCAGTCCCCTACTGTTCTACACTCTCCCCCATAGTCCCCTACTGTTCTACACTGTCCCCCATAGTCCCACAGTCCCCTACTGTTCTCCACTGTCCCTTACTGTCCCCAAAGTCCCCCAGTCCCCTATTGTTCTCAATGGTTCCCTGATGTCCCTCACTGTCCCCCAGAGAGGAATTGGCAGCACGATCAATGTCCATGTGCCTCTCACCTCAGGATGAGGACCTGAGAGGTACTGGTCCAAGAGTACGGCGCTGTAACAGCCAACAGACCATCCACTGCAATTCTAGAGCGGGGAGCCGCCCTACTGCAGGCATGGAGGCGCTCCTAAGGGAGGAGGTGCCTGTGATCTGCCACCGCAGGCCGCAAGTAAGAGGAGCACAGGTGTCAGTGAAAGGGAACAGCAATTACTGCATGCTGCGTCAGGGAGATCTACACCAACATCACCGCATGATGCTGTTTCACAAGTCTTTACATCATCATAAGGGTTTTTTTAATCACCACAACATACCGGCTGCATTTCCTTGTAACCGACGAAACCGAATGCCATAAATTACACCCCAAGGCACGACAAAATAAGACCATAAATAAAATCAAGCAAAGGCTTTGGGTGCAATGTTTTACGTGACTGACAGCCAACACCCATGGTTCCTTGTCAGCCAGCCAACAGGAGGCAATAGAAGACAAACGATTCCTTCTTTAATGACGACAGACTGTTTTGGGCATCGCCTTTTATCCCATGTGACTCACAGTGACAGCAAAGGCTTTGGACGAAGGGCACGGCCTACCACTGTGGCAGCCGACAGGGACGGACAGCCAGCGCTGATAAGAAGCTGGGACTGATTAAACCGAGGTAAACATCAAAGTGGAGGGAAATAAATCAATAAAAGTTAAAATAGGTTGAAGTTGGGAAAACTAATTTTTGCTCTTGCCAGGAAGAGAACTCAGTTTTTCCTTCGGTAGGAGTAAATGATAGGGCTTGAGAAATAATTTCTAAATCATAATATGCCTTGGGAATTGTTGGCAACTTTTATGATTGCAAATGGCTTCATTAATCTCTCGGCACAACGGATGCTGCACATGGAATCACGGTTCAGCCTCGTTTCGCAATGTCACCGAGCCAAATGAAGGAATCCATCACACGGCCACGCCCACGCGAGCAGGTGGGTGGGGTCTCCTCCCTCAGGCCGCCTCCCCTCCGCTCTTGCCCACGGCTCAGGCGCTAAATGTACAGGAGCTGGTTTCAGCAGCATCTAACCTTTACTCTAAGCAGAGATCAACGGTGTCAGACACGCAAGACACAGGCGCATTAATCAGAGCACTTGTGTTTACATGACCTGGTGTTAGGAGAATGATGATCTGCAGAAGGTTCTCTGGAAGCGACCGGTATCACTGCTGCTGGGGGGGGCACACTGGCATAATCGTCAACTCGAATTGTATCAATGTGCCCAACTGGATAGTACCAATGACTAATGTACGAATCAGCCAGGCCCTAACAGAACCATTTAGACTTGCATATGCGAAGCTTGGACACAAGTCCAACTTATATGTAGGTCACTGTGTTGCAGCATACAGCCACTGAGGTGAAATACGGGCTTGCCAAGCACCTGGGGCGAAGCTGTGGGTCTGGACACCCGTTTGCCAAAAATCATAAACACCGGGAGAGAGGCCACCAGTGATCTACACTAGCAGGACCCTCTACCCCGGTATGCCACTAACAACATGGACACTGCAAAGCAGCAACAGTTCCTGCAGCACAAGCTGCGTTTGGGTTTCCGTTATAGCTGATCTCTACCTTAAACATGGAGTAGGCTGCCGATTACACGGCTCACAGTTAGAACTTAGCTGACTGCGTTTATAGCTTTCGTTCCATCAGGTCAAACAGAATTTATAATGCGAGGTACATCTGCAACAGTGAGAGCATAACCTAAAATGGCAGAAGGCCCCTAAGCGCCTGTTCCACAGCTCACAGTTGCACAGTGCATCGTGGGACTTGGAACGATGTTTACTTCTGTAACAAATCACGAAGCATCAGTCCCCGTGGAAGGAGCCCACGGGGCTTGGAAAGGGGAGAGCGCAGTGAAAGCTGCAGAAGAACCAGTTTGTCAGCAGGGGCGTTAGAAATGGGGGGGACAGGGTCACCTCCAATGTCTGCAGCCCCCCCCCCCTACAAAAAAAAGAAAGTCAATAGTGAACAGCGTGTTCCTACTCATTTATTATGGATCTGCACATGACTGAGGCCAATTCGCTGTGCATGTAGAGTG